CATGGTGAACTACCAACAACCATTATAGACACAAAAGCTTCTTTTGGATTTATACGTATAACCTTACCTGTTATCTTTATGTGAACATATGTTAAATATACTGTTAATGAATGAATGTAGCTGTAGAAATGTCATTAATACTACTAACAATACTATTAACATCTGGTACTGCCGATTGTTTTTTTTCCCTCGAAACTGTTATTATTGGTATCTAAATAATTACAATTAAAATAAAAAAAAGTTAGTATTTTTTTAATTGTAGTTACTTCCATACTCGCCATCAAGCGATTTAATTATTATTAATAATACTTCTTTAACTACATATTAACTATATTAATATTAATATTATATTATAATAAGGATGAAGATGATAAGTACCTTTTCTTCGTCTTTCTTGACAAAATCTTTTCTTACACCAACAACGCTAGCATAGATATGACTACCTCGAATATAAGTACCAGGACCTGCTTTAAAATTTTGTGTAAATCCTAATCTTTGACCCGGTGTCACGAATTCTGGCATATTATTTATATTTGATGAAAGAAACTTCTTTTGTTTTTTTTTTTTGTGATAATCAAAAAAAATTTGTGATTCAGTAACACAAATGGTCAGGGCTTTCAGTGTTTTCCAACTTAATAAGGTATATACCCGATTTGGGAACATAGATCGTACTTGGACATATATATTAATATATCAGGGCTGGCTGTGTAACCCGAATGTGACTAAACTATTTATGTTAAGTCAAGTTTAGTCAAGACAATTATTACTAAATTAGATTTTTAACCCTGCCAGCCCTGATATGCATATATATTTGATATGGGAATACCCCAGAAGGGAATTTACAGGGGCTAAAGTTTGTTTAGAAACACAAACTTTATTTCATTCGTGAACTTGGGAAATTACACGATTTCTCAATCGCAAAGTAAAATAAAAAGTAATAAAATACATTTGGTTTTTTTATCATATAGGGAATGTTAATGCTACAATTGTACCACTAATATAACATAAAATTTCAAGGTTGTCTTTATAAGATAACTCAATCAATCCAAATTAGCTTTGCTATTAATAAAACAAGGAGTGCATTAAAAAATCAAGTATGATTTAATTGATATGGAATTACCCCTACATAAAGTATAAATATATATAATCTACAATGGAACCCAAGGAGAAGTATTTGAAAAGAACAAGATGAGAAAATTGCTACTTTATGTTTAAATTAACTGATACTCTGGCACTTTGATATTATAACCTAAGGAAGGAGAAGATTACCTGTAAAGTTTACCGACAAGAAAAGAAACAATCAGCAAAAGAAAACTATATAACAGAAATGCAATTACCTAATAAAATGCAGAAAAGAAAAACAACATGAGATGATTAAATTGTGAAACTTTATTCAAGGTAAATAGGTAAATAGCCTATCTTGACGATTTAAATAATTGTCACAACATTAAATATTGACAACTGCTAATCATAATCAAATAAACCTAACATCAATTTTTTCTTCTCTCTTTGTATATATATATATATATCACTAGCTGCAGAAGTAAATATTATCAGCTTGAATATGTATATTTATAATCTGGCATCAATAAATATATCAAATTAGGGTAAGTATTTCCAAGAAATACTCATCGATGAGGTCTCTTTTTATGGACAATAAAGACTTTTGCATTGGAGGATTTGTAAAAATTTCAACTTTTGTTTTTATTACAAATTCTTATGGTAGTTGGATGTTATATATTGTTTGCTTATTTCCTAAACTTTTCAACTACCTCTTGTCCTTGTCTATTAAATACAGCAGCTTATTATCTTCGGCACCCGAGCATTCAATATAAACTGAAGTTGACCTAACAAATTTAATACGCTCAATTTTTAATTTGCGCCTTTTTGTTTGCTGCATTGTTTAAATTAACATTAATAAATAATAAGTTGCAAAAATGAATACAATAATTAGCCCATTGATTAAATCTAACGTATTGAGCTAGATTTAACAAAGTATTTTCCGACTCCCACGTTAGATTCTATATTCGTGACCTTGTTTGTGATAAAAAAATCCTGACCAATAAGAGAGAGGCTTCACAGGTTCTTTGAAAGGAAATGCAATTTCAATAAGTCCACAGCCACCATGAATTTTCCGTTACATCATATCCTTCGGAAATCAAGTCTTTTTTTTTGGAAAATTAAAAATCCTGCAAGTCGAATATCAAACATTAAATAATTGATAGTTTTAAAGAAAATAATCCCAAGCATTAAAATAAAATCATGCTATAATGAGTTACCGAGTCAATCAATTTTTCAAAAATAAATTTTTTCCAATTATTGATGTCAGAGTAAATTATACAAAGTGTAAAAAATTTCTATAAAAAAAAAAACATTGCGCGTTATACATCATTGTAGCTATAAAACATCGATTTACTAAAATAGTCACAATGACATAAGATATAATGCACGTAAAAAAGAGTACAAGCAAAAAAAGAAGTTCTTCTAATGGACAATGTTATTTTTAACTTGTTATAATTAAAGGGGAAAATAAAGTCAGTGTTGAAATCCAGTTGACGGAATCGACCGGTGTTACGTTACACTTTGATACGACTCTACATATAGTTCTAAAATTGTACTAGTTTATAACATATTTGTAAATGCTATATATAAACTAATATATATTGTGATTTTTTAAAGTTTTTAACTATAGAAAAACAAGTGTAGTAGACTGTGTAATAGTACTGCAGGATCGAGTAACACCCAAATTTTTAATGATGGTGTAAAAAAGGCTTTCTAGCTTATATACGTATTATGAAATCCCAACATTTTCTTTTTGAACCTTGGTAAAAGTTCAAAGATTTCTAATTGTCATTTTCATGAATTTATACTATTAAAGAAGGCTGATGGGAAAAGAAATCGAAATTTTCATGTCATAAAAGATATCAAAACCTCATTACACCTATCTATTCCTTTCATTTCATTTTGCACCACCAGTTATTTTGTGGCGTTATACTGGTTTGGTTATAGCATGCATGCCCCAAATTGCAATAATGGCGCGTAAGGCACATGGACATATTGATACTGTCAATTTCCAGGGAACTGGGTTTTTTTAATGACATCATTAAGAAATTAGGTTTAGTTTAATCAAGTTGGTTTAGTTGGTTTGATCATTTGATCTTAAAAACAGGTTATTTATAATTTGTGGAAAAATTTGAATAATATGATAATAGGGTGTTTTTATTCGAGTTCGGTTCTATTGTTGGTCCCGGTTGAAGTAAGTCGGAAAAAGTCATACCGAAATGGTCCCTTTTTATATTTTTTGGGAATAATTTCTTTTTCAAGAAAAAGTTCTTATAAAATGTACCCATTGTATAACTAAATAAGGATAGAAGGTTTATTTATTTGGTTATTCGTTATTAATATTTATGTGTATTTATATATATACTAGAATGAATTGAAAAAAATTGTAAATAAAAAAATATTTGGAATTTTTTTAATCTAAAAATTAAAAATCATTATCAAAATGAAAAATAAATAACATTCCTCTATTTTATTTAAAATAGATCATTATTTACTGATTTTTCGGGGTAACCCATTTTATAAATATATAATTATTATTTATATGTATATTATACAATCACACGCACATACGCACACACACGAATCACGAATCACGCACACACGCACACACGCACATAATAGCTCATAACGCATAACTATTACTAGTAGTAAAACTATTACATATCGGTAATTGCAATTGATGCTGATCAGTTCGAGAACCCGTCTAAATAACCAGATTGAATAATGACAACAAAAAAACAATACACGCATTGCTACTCGTCATAATTAATAAACATCATAAATCACATTGAATCAATTATCAATTAACCGTAAATAGACAAAAATTGGACTGGGCGAATTCATGGGAACCAAGATTTTTTATTTTACAATAAAAATAAATAAATAAAACTTAAAACTTAAATATTTTAGTTGCTGCTTAGTTTGTATTTTACATTGGATTCTGCGATGATAATTCATGTGCAAATAAAATATACATACGCGCGATATACAATATTAGTATTTTGATAAGGATTCACATTTCAACTCAAATTTTTTCAAGGTAATTAATTAATTATAAACGACAAAAGCAATTCCCGTTATCATAATAATTAATAATTATATAATAATCATCATATAAAAAAATGACTGACCAGATCAGTTACCATCATCATTTTTCTATTACCATAAAAAAATAAAACATTTAATTTTTTCAACGTTCAAATTTATAATTTCATTATCCTCATCGATTAAAATAATGTTATATTACATCATCTTACATTACGTTTTCCATATTCAAAAATTTCCCCCATCCTCCTTTTGTTTTTTGTTAGTTTTAATTTTTTTCCGTTGGTATGTTATTATCAACTATCAAACAACTACAACAACTTTTTTTATTTATGTAGTAAAAAAATATTTTTAACAATATACTATTGAGAATGAATGGATGAATTATTATTGTTTATTTATTATTATTATTATTATATATATATATATATATGTATGTATGTATGTATGTATGTTATATTTTCCATTCTTGTATAAATTTAGAATTAATTAATTCAAGAAAAATTTCAAATATTGTTTTTTTACTAGTTGACCGACCAATTAACAAACATCCTAACTAACTAACCAACAAATAATATCAATCAATCGAAGTACCTACCCACCTACATGCCTAGTTAGTTACCCATACAAAAGATAATTATCTACCCACGCACCTTAAAGATATAAATATGTATGATCAATATACTTTAAAAAAAATTTTTTTTCCGTTAAAATAAAAAAAGAAACAATTGAAAATTATATTTTTTTTTATAAATAACAAAATAAATAATATTTTTTTAAAAAAAAACTACGATAAATATTTTTTTTTTTCTCTTTACAAAAAAATAGAAACTTTTTTTTATTATCAATTTCAATTATAAAATAAAATAAAGAATTATGTCATTATCAGAGAGATGGAGGCTTTTGGTAACAGGAGAAGAGAGAATTGATAAAATTATTGGGATAGCAGAATTAGCTTATTCGGTTCAACCACTCTATGAGGTTGTTAGACAAGCAAAGAAGATTGAGTCAAATATTTTCGAAGCTTCTAATTCAAAGGTAAACGAATATTGATTATTGTTTTGCAGGGTACGGCAAGAGACCTGGTGTTTTTTTTTTCTGTTGTATAATTTTACACGTTAATTAATGTCCTCCTTTCACCACACACCTTTTCGCATTTTATCCACAGGAAAACTATGCGTCTACGATGGACCAATTAATTTTAAATATGAAGGAATTGATTGAAGACAAAACCAAAATTCATTTAGAGCAATTGGCCACAAAGTCTATTCTTGATTCGATGGACAAACGAATAAAGCAAATTAAGGAGGAAACGGAAATGAAAGGAAGATCTATAAATATTGATAACATCAATTATATTATCAATAACGAAAACGATGAAGAAGATGTAAAAAGAATTAAAGAAATATTACAAATAGAAGAGCGACTACTTAAAGAATCGTGGCAAAAATATATTGATGAACAAATGGGTCGTTTACATCAACAACGACAAATGCATTCTGAACGTTTAAGATTATCAATACAAAATATGCAACTAAATCAACAACAAAATGTATCATCATCACCATCATCATCTGTATCTTCCCCAACCGAAACCACTCCTCCTTCTTCTAGTTCTAGCTCATATTCTTCCACATCTACATCTGATACTAACCATGAAATTCATTCTTCTAGCTCATCTTCTAAACCACCAAATTCTTTATCGTCAATAGCACCTGATGCGCCGGCAATCTCGACAAACATCTAATTCCAATGATAATAATGATTCACACCACATCCTTTTTATTAGAAAATCGATGAGTGAATTTCATCGTCAACACGCAAATAATATATTTCTCACATTTATATGCGCGCGCACACATACACACACATAAAATATTTTTCGAGATAGCCAACTATTTTTTTTTTAAACTACATATCGCAAAAAAATTTTTCAAATTGTCATGTAATATTAACTACAATATTATTAATGCAATATAATAATAAAATACAATAAATGTGACGTTATCATCATTTCTCCTAACATCATCATCTTTATTATTGGTATCAATATTGATGTTAGTATTAATGTTGGTTGTAACAAATCCTTCAACGTTAAAAAATTCAAGTTCTAATTTGGGTATACTGCAACAAAGGATGTGGTCGGGAAAGAGAGATCTTAAGGTATGAAGGAAAATAAGGAAAGGGAAAATTGAAGAAACAAAATTTTCAAAAAATTTTCCAATTTAGCTCTGTTCCTTGTTCATTTTATTCTTGGCAGTAAAGTATGAATTGGTTATTATATCACGCATATTATGTATATTATAATATCCAAAATCAAAAATTTAACTATTTTTTTATCATCATCATTTAATATTTAAATTTTTCTTTATCGACTTTATTGCAGAATGGGAGAAGTTTCTGCAATTAATTTTTTAAAAAACTTTTCACATCAATGTTCTTTCTAGATTCCCAATCTCTTTTCCAATCTCCGTAATTTCAATTAAAACATAAATACAACATATCATTATTAAAAGTATTTACTTTTTATCCGCAAGATAAGAACCAAAAAAAAAAGCGCTTATCTTTAGTTGAATAATTACTTCGAACCTTACAAATCTTTTCGTACAGATGATCATGCTTCAATAAGATTACCCTTCCGGATATTTTTTCGAGAAAAGATAAATATTATTGACAATATATATAATTAACGTTGATATTAATAATAATAATGTTACCTTATAACTGTAGCTCATACACTTTAATTCTTTAAAAATTTGCTCTTTTTAAATAATAGATTACTATGTTATTATAACAATCGTTTTTTAACTCCTTCGTATTCTTTCTATCCTTGACCAGTATTTGGCTTCTTTGCCTCACAAATCAACATGTATGATTTGAATTCTTTGCCAACATTATCATGAGGATACGTCACGGTCATATTTAATAACAAAATATCATCATCGTCATTATCAGAAGACTCAAGAATAATCCAAAAATATACAAGCGAGCTGAAAGAAACATACATACGTATTTAAAATCAACGTTGGTCGTCAAAAAGAGTCCAATAGTAATCCAAGAGGAATTATTTGTTAAAGCTTTCCAAAAACTGAAAATCATCGTCTTCCAAGTTAAATTCTTTGCATTTAAAATTGTCATCATCTCCTTGAAAAATTACTGCGTCAGAAATGATTTAAAATTATCTCATGATTTTTAATATTAAATTATTCATGTCGTCTAGAAAATCATTTGGATTAAGAGGATTTCTAGATCTTCCACTCTGGAAATTTGAAAGATCTGTGGTAAAATAGAAGATGCAAAGAGATGATTCGCCTATAATTAGTGAATGATTGACATAGTAATCAGTGGGGAGAATGGCCAATCATACAACTTTGCACGAAAAGTTGTATTTTTGTCCTACCACAAATTTTTTTTGTGCAGATAAGAAAGAAACTCTAAAGATTATTGATATGTATTATTTTTTTTTTTGCTTGCATTTGAAAAATACAGAGAATATTGTTTCCGCAGCAAGTTCCCATCAATTCTTTCCGTTTTTATTTAATTTTAGTAACTTAGAATCTTATCATGTCAAAAGAATATTTAATATTATTATTAGTTGATAGCATTGAAATCAGTATGGAATTAGAAAACAAAATACATTACCAAATATTTAATTAGCTGATCTAAAACAATTTGTATTAAATTACATGCGGCTTTAGTTATTAATTTCTTGAAACTATGTAACTCTTTTACGATTTTCGTTGGATTGATAATTTTTTGCATCAAGTTAATAATACTCTTGATTATATCACGTGAAAAGATATTTAAAATTTTCATTGAAACAAAGATTTATTATAAATATATATTTTTTGTATTCACTTACCTCTGTTAACTAGTGTTAATAATCCTCCTTGAATCCATGATATTTCTGTTCGAAAGGAAAGTACCCTGCTACTATCTTTTTCATTCTAAAACCAAGAATAAAAATAAAACAATTTTAAAAAATGTAACCCTGAGTTGATAATAATGATTAGACCATGGTAATCGAACGGCTTAATAATAAAAGAAACGCAAGAAGAGAAACTAACCCAATCATGAGTATATGATCCAAACTAATGTTATCATGTAAATATAATGGCATCGAACGTCAACACAGTAAATATTCCCCGTATTCTTTCATGATCCCAACATATTAGACCATTTTTTATTTTAATACTTATTTTATACTTGCCGAGAACATGAAAACTGTGTAGTTGGCTCTTGGTTTCTCAATAATGTCAATAAAACTTCTTTATGCAAAATACTTGATATAAGGAAAAAAGTGAGCATAGTGCCACAAAGATCCAATCTGGGTATTAATTAATATTAATTAGGGATTGAATCGGTTCGTATCGGTTCATAAAACTACTGGTTCGATTATATATCATTATATATTCCTATATAAAGAACTGCCACTAAAAAACAGGATAATTCATGAATTACAGAATTAATGGAAGGAGGGACAAAAAACGTTATTTGGATTCGATTATGATAATTAATATCAAATTTCTATTTAGAAAACCAATATATTGAAAAACTTTAGCATTTAAACTTTAACATTTAAATTTAACATTAAATTTTAACATTAAAAAATATGCATTAATAATAATATTATTATGCATGCACGTTATCACTTCTAATATACTAATGTCTTGTTAAAAAAAATATCAAACCGCAGTTTAAACAGGATCTCGCATTACATCCAATTATTTCAAAAAAATCTGATTATCTTTCCAAATCAAGTAAAGGATTTCCAAGTTAATCCATGTTTTCAAACATAGTAAACATATTGAACTTTAAATTGATATATCTCAAAGTTCTGTGCAGCTAAAATCTAATCGTCTGTAGATAACTTAAGGTAAACAAAATGATGATTAGATTTCTTCAAAAATGTTCTCTCTATCTTATTTTGATATATAGTTTGTTGGAAAACCCAACCATAAAAAGTGAAGATATGTAAATCATGTGATTCTGTCGAGGAATTAGTTTTATTGGACGATAAGCTTTTAATAAAATATATTAATATATCTATATATAATATACTGATATGTGGTCAAAAAAATTTTTCCCCAATATTGCGTCATTTTTAAAATTATGAATTAAAATTTCCCCCAATTTTATTTTTTTACATCATCATATACTCTTATTTTACTGGTCGAAAAAGGACAATTAGCGCCAGTCAGCTAAAAATTAACACATGATATTGATTGTGTTTCCCGATTTTTAGTTGATCAACTACCAAAAAGTGACAAACTGCTATACTGATTTATTACAGGTTTATATTGGTATTTTCTAGACCTTGTCATTAGATCTAATTCTTCACTCCCAAATAACTATAATAGAATAAAATATATATTATAATTTTATTTACCTGAATCCTGATGAAGATGTTGTAAAAGGTCAAAAAATATTAACAATAGAAGAACAATTACTAAAAAGAATTATGGCTAAAATTATCAATACAAAGTATGAAACTTCAACAATTTGTAGTGAATCAACAAAAACAACAAATTTGTCATCTTCTGGATCTAGTTATTCTATGGTTGGAGCTGAAGTTTGGGTTGGATCAAAACCATCATTTATACCTTCCAAAATTGGATTTGCTGTTCCCCTCCTCCACCTACATCCTTTATCGTCGTCATCATGTAAAATCAATAAATTAAATATTATTTATACGTTTTACAAATTTCTCTCATATTTATAATAATAGAGAATTACAATGATAAAAATTTTCTTAATTATTTAATTATTAACACAAATAAAAGATTGAATGCTCGTCGTGTCACTATTGCTTGCCAAAACTCGTAATTTTTTTCGCAGATTTTTGAAATCGTTTCCATATTTCAATCAGATCTTCAGTTTTTTCTTATTCTGGCATATTAGAGTAGTATATACGGCAAAGATTTAATTTCTTATAAACTTGCAGAGAAGAGAAGAAAGGAGAGAGAAGAGAGAACAGAGAGCATAGTTCATTTATATAGGTGATTTTTTATAAGTTTGTGGTCTGTGAAAACCTGTTTACTTTTTTCCATAGCCACAAATTAATTTTAAAATTTGAATAAATAATTAACACGTATTAGAATGTCAAGAATTTCACATGTATCTAATTATTATTATTATCTATTTCTTTGTGTACTCATCAAAAACATCAAGAATCATCGGATAAGAAAAACCAAAATTACAATTTTTTTAATTGGCCGGAAATTACTTAACAACTAACTTTTAAACTAATTGTTGTGAAAATTGACAATAAAACATGATTTTGGACCTTCTGAGCATTTTTTTTTATGGCAAGAAAACATGTTTTTGCATTGGTTTTTAATGAAAAGTTCAACAATTTTAAGTTCCAACCAACAAATGCACCTCAATTTGAGATCTACACTTATCCATTGATTCTTGATTCAGGTGCATGAGATCATGGCTGTGAACCATTATCTGATCAATCAACGTGTTTGTTATGAAATCATTGGTAAACATTCAATGTGTTCTAATTTGTTAAGAACATGTACATATGCAACTACGTGTTTATTTTTACGCCATACATCTTTCTTTTTTTTATGCTGTGTGGATATGTTTATTGTCATGTTATCCATGCTGCAATGTTAACATGTGTTCCTTCGCCCATCATTGATTGTTGTTGCTGTCAATCAACGTGTTCGAAATTGTTAAGAACATGTACTTATGCAACTATGTGTTTATTTTTACACCTTTTGTCTTTCTTTTTTTTTTTCACATGTGGATGCATTTATTGTCATGTCTACATTAACATATGTTTCTTGTGCTGCCATTCATTGAATTACTGATTTTTACGATTTGGTTAGTGAAGAAAGGTTGTATAAAAAGGTTAAGCAAATGAACTACTAGATGCAAAGAAAATATTTGATACTCACGAAATAATTTAAATCATATTTAAAAAAAATAAAAAATAAAACTCATAAATAATTATGCCTTCCATCTTATCTACAATCGCATTTGTAAAGTCTGCGAGTGTATCTAATGTTTTGAATGGTATGGCAACTTCAAGACTTGACAATGATGATTTTTTGGACTTTACATTCAGGGCCTTTAATTCCAACAAAGACATCATGATCCAGGATATACAAAAGGATTCTTTTATGATGTTTGTTGGAGGTGCTCGCATAATGTTCCTAAACAATAAATTGTTTGAACATGGAGTATGTAATGGGACAATAGGAGTAATCACCAAGGTAATTGATGATGATAATGTTGAGGTTACTTTACCCACAGCTAACAATATTGTAAAGATAAATGTTCAAAGAGAAATCACATACTTCACTATCAATGGAATACCAGCATCCAGGAAGCAATTCCCAATTCAGAATGCATTTGCACTCACTGTTCACAAGACACAAGGCCTTACACTACCACACTCAACTGTATCCATTGATGAAAATATGTTCACCACAGGACAGATATATGTGGCGATGAGTAGGGCACCTTTGTGGGGGATTCTCTGGATATATTATCTTTTGATTTTGATTACATAGACATGTTATTGATGAGTACAAAAGGTTAAATAAATCTCTTGAACCAAAATGGCTTAAAAGAATAGATGTAATAAAAAAATACCTGTAAAAAAAGTATGTAAAAAAAAAATCATTAGAAAATTTGTTTTCAATTAATTATCAACGTAATAAATAAATAAAATTGTTTTTCATTTTTACCTATCAAAAGATTATGCAATCAGAAATTAATATATTAAGACAATCATGATTGTTATATTTGTGTATTAGTCCTGCTCTAAGCCTAAAAGCACCATCGTCTTTGAATGATTTAAATACTGTTAATCATGAAAAATAAATGATTTGTGAAGAGGAAGTAAAAAAAGGAATATTGCTTGGAGGTATTTTAAACAAGAAGGTGATGTTGTGTAATATCAAGAAACTATAAAGCAAAAGGATAAAAGAAATTATGGGAAGCGTAAATGAAAATCTTGATGGCTCACTTTGCTTCCTCATTTGTAAACTTGTTAATTGAATGCTTTTTTCCAAATCACATGATCCTATTTTAACAATAATAATAATATATATATCAAAGATTATTTTTTAATTCTACTAAAATATTAATAAAATTATTTTTTAAATTCTACCAACATATAACCAAAAATTTTTTTCAATAATTATAAGAATAACTATAATATCAATACATTATGAAAATAACTATAAAATACAATAATGTAGCGTTAACATTTATGAAAATATAAATTTTAAATTTTGATTGACAAAGATTTTGTTGTAGAATTGTTTAGAATCATAGGTTTCAATGGTTCCTGTAATTTTGAAGATAATGGTGATGAAGGTGTTGACGAGAAGAATAAATCAATTTCATGTAAATTTGGTTGTTCTTGTTGTTTTTGTTTTTGTGATAATTCCTTTTCAGCATTATCATCGCCTCTACTAACATTATTATTATTATCATCATCATTATCGTTATTATCATTGTTGTTATTGTCATTACCATCGTTGTCATTACTATGATCATCATTAGTATTAACACTAATAGTTGTATTATTATTATTAGTATCAACATTAATGTTAGTATTAATGTTTGCTGTAGCAAATCCTTCAACATTGAAAACTTCTAATTCTAATTTATGATATGTTTTAATTAATAAATATTCCACGTTTGAAAAATAATCATTGATTGTCATTCTTATTGATGATAATGCTTCATTATGATTCAAGGTTTTAGGTTCTTTCTTGTATGGATATTTTGTACTATGAGTGTAACACTATCAAGATTATTAATATTATGAGATGAGTAAATAATGTTTACACCTTATATAATAAATGAAATATATTTAAATACTCACACGTCTCACAAAGCTAGGTCTCAGACTCATCATCATTTGTCTCTCATCAATAAATCTACACTCGACAATTTCACTAAACGGTATCACGATCTCTTCCCTCATTTTATGAATACATATGGAAATTTGTTGTGAATCATATCTAAATAGTAATCCAATATCTGAGAAACTAGAAGCTGTCAATTGGTTATTTCCGGATAATGCTGATTTTGAAGACGAAGATGATGATTGTAATTGTGGTAGAGGTGCTGGCAGTGAAGACGAATTTCTTGACCAAAAGTGGATACGATTTAATTGGGCTTTGATTAATTTGTTTTTATCTTCATAATAAACTGATGAAAGTGATGATAGAGGTGCTGGAAATTCGCCAAGTTCAGACCTATTATTATTATTAACCTTTTTCATAATATTTTTATTAGTATTCATTACCATCGTCATAATATTGGTTCGAAAAAAAACGCGTTAAAAAATATAATAGGAAAAAGACAATCAACAAATCAAAAAATAAAATTCTTTGTGGAGATATTTGGATTTCACAAAAAACTATATTGAAATTTTCTTTGTTTCCATATATAGTAATGATTAACAAACAAATAAATTTTCGTGCTGCAATTTTCATGGTTATAAAATGATAAATAATAAAATAATTACTGAAATTTTTCATTTTTCTTTTTTCTCAAAAAGATTAAGAAATTGGCTGGTCCTTAGAAGATATTGATTTATATAATCATTAGTGTCTTCTTTTTTATACAATTTCTTAATCATTCATTCATTCATTCATTCATTCATTCATTCATTCATTTAACTCGTTTGTCTTTTTTTCTTTCGCCCATATTTTTTAAAAAAATGAAATTCAATATTAGTAAAATCAACCTCAATAAATTTAAGTGGCTGAAAGAATACGATAATAAATATGAAAATTTATTCTTAATCACTTATATAATACACATGATTGGATATTCCATAATGTTGTTAAGTTTTTTAATACTTTCACGTAAATTAAATCACAACTCAGCTTTCTTCCTGATGGTCTTGTTTCCTATAAGTTCAGGATTTATAGTTGTAAATATTTTATTGATATATATATTGTTTGACACGGAAAAAATCTATGCTCAACTTCTCAAAGTTTTCAATGATAACTAATTTTTTTATTTATTTTTCTTTACTTTTCCAAAAAAGTTTCACGAGAAAACAATATTACACAGCATTGTATATACTATAGTAAATATGGTCCCGATAATAATGGGGATATTCGTCTTTAATTTCATGCCGAATTATTGTGGCGCTAATTGTTCATCATTCAAACTAAGCGGCATCTTTCTATTATCATTCTTGTCATTGTTACAAATCTGGTATCTTTGGATTATTTATTATTTATGGAAAGAGAAGTAAGCGAGAAATTAATTATTTTTGGAAGAAAGTCTAATAATTATTTTTTAAAATTTTTCACACGAAATATTTATTTAGAATATGGCCCATAGTTTCCGAATATGAATTGACTAAAAACGTGAAAATAAAACGTAAGCAACCCAATAATAATAAACTAAAAAGTGGCCATATAAATCATACAAGTTCTAATGGCTAAACGATATTTTTAAAATTTAGAAATGCATGCAAAATATCAACGGCAATTTCCAATTCTTCATGGTATAGTAATCTTGACAGGAATGTGGTCTGTTATCTATTCGATTCTAGAATGGGATGAATCATTAAATAACCTTAAAGCTAGTTCTCGACCTTTCGATTTTTTGAACCTGATTCCGTTCAACGCTTTACTAGTTGTCTATTTGATTTTAATGGTTATTGGCGTAAGTACTTATATATATATATATATTATATTAATTTTTTCATACCATAACTAACACTACCTGTTATTAATATAGGTTAGAAATGAAAATAATAGAATGTTGGTCACGTTTCATATAAGTAATTTATGTCAAGCCATTTTTATGGGATGGTGGACATTTAGATATTGTGATAATTATTATGAATCTGTACAAGAATGTATTAATTTTGATATATTTTTTCAAACTAATCTTGTCATAGGTAAATAAATTAGTACTTTTTTTTATTAAATTTTTTTTTTTTTTTTTAATTTAATTTTCTATGTTTTTATACAGTGATAATTACATTGATTTTTATGGGTCTAGCAAGTTATAATACTTTAATCTGTCAATTAAATTTTGGAAATAATCTTGGATTTTATAGTGAGTGTCTTTTTCCGTTCATATGTGTGTTTGTTGATTCATACATATATTATTTTATATCAAGAAAAAAAAATAATTAAATTATTTTTACTTTTTAGTTAAATATGAACCAACACCAGATGAATTTCAATATAAAAATAATGATCCTGATTTTTTTATTACAAAAAATGCTCATAACTATAGCTATAATAATAATATTGTTTGATTGTAACATGATTATAAATAATAAAAATGACATTGAGGAAATAATATATTTTGTTTTTTTTTTTAATGCTAAGTGAGGCCTTGTGACCACGTTTATTCATTTGATAATCTAATATATAATTATTTAAAAGTTTTACCCTTCAAGAAATATTACATTATTAATAAGTTATATTATTTTAGTTTTAATTAATCAATTCACAATTATTTGGAAAACTTCAAATTCATCATATCTACTATTATCTACTAGATTGATGTCATTATAAGTCCTTGGAACTCTATTTCTATTACCAATACTAATACTACCATCAGTTTTAAACCTAATATTTTTGACATCACCAAAAATAGGTAAAAAATAAGGGGTACAACAAATTGCATGATCATAATCATAATTAACAACATAACTAAATTGTGCAGTATTAAAATCATTTCTATTACTAATGTTAAATATAAAACTGTCAGTTGTTCTTTTGAACTCCCCAAAAAAATTACCTCCATTCCAATTAAGTGGATTATAACCACCAATTATCTGATCAGAATTTTGCATTCTAGCAACTACAAGAGTACAGTTAATATTATCACATTTTTGATGGAATATAGCTTCATTTAAACCATCTCTACTACTACGATATAAAAGCTTAAACTCATATTTGACATCCCTTAATGAAGTGTATGGTGTGTTTTTTTTATCAATCCAACTAGCAAAAAGCAAAGTAAGCTTTTGATTGATTATCAATGATTCAATTTTTGAACTTTTTAATTCAATATTTGGATTTCTTGATGGTAATAATTTTAAAGCATATTGTTGTCTATTAGGAACCAAATAATAACATAATAAGTTGTTCCAGAAAACCTCAGAAAAAAGTTTTTGGTATGGCATAACTTTATCAGTAAAGTTTTCATTGGTGATATCCTGAAATCGAATCAAAGGAATAATATCTTCTAGTATATTTTTTAATTCTTTATAATTAACTTCACTCCATTCCCACTTTGAAATATTTTTTTTTTCCTCCAAATTTTTAATTTGTCTGATTCCCCACTGAATGATATGATCCCAAACATCAATTTCATCTACTTCTAAATCATCTTTTTCTAATAAAAACTTAAGCATAGGTTTATCAATATTTTTAAAATCCAATGATTTTAAAAATAACTCTGGTTTGTCATTAATTACTTTTTCAAAGTAAACTCTAAGTGTATTAAATGATTGATGTATTGATGAAATTTGATAAAGATAATATAAGTAATGTTGAATCCATTTTTCATTTGTAATAATGTAGTTTTGTAATTCATCAACTAGTTCATTAAAATCTAATTCATCACTTGCCACAAGAAGCTCAACAATTTCAAAAAAATTTAAATTATTAATATTAATAATTCCATTATAAATATACCTTGAAAAAAAAAAACAATATAATAATAAAAGTAATGTTAATAATTTAGAAATTTTTTCAAAAAAAAAAAAAATCATTTAATAAATTATTTAACAAATTAAACTAAATAAATAAATTAATCTTACATTAAAAGAACTTCAAATACACTTGAAGATATATTTTCTTTTTCAAATAAAATGATACCATTTTCAGACCTTTTAATCCAGTTATTTGATAAGGCTGCCTTAAAGTATGAAGATCTTGCTTTCAAGATGTTTGAATGAGCCTTAAAAATTTTTTTGTCTACTCCAATTTTAATTTCTACATCATAAAAATTTGAATCAATCAATAAATTTGTTAGATCATTTACAAGCTTACTGATATGTTTTAAAGGTAAAGCATCTTTGTTGGAATCAATAAGATTACTAATCAGTGTTGTGATATTTTCAAAAGATGAAAAACTTATTGATGACATTTTTGGAGAAATTTATTATTATTATTGAACAGTGTCACATGTAATCAATTTATTTCTTAATTTGTCAATAGTAATTTTAAATAAGCGCACAGAGAGAAGGAGGAAAAGGAAACCAAAATAAATTATATATAACGGATAATGAATAATATGCAGGAAAGAAAGTGCAATCAATAAATTACATTTGTATCAAGGAATTTGGAAAATCAAACTTTTTTGATATACAGAAAATCATTTAAGATAAATTCAAAAATGATCTAATTGGAGCTCTAATTCTTTCTTTGGTGGGAATCAATGATTTTATCACAACAAATTTTTTCACTTTTAATAGAACATTTCTGGAGGAAATGAACACAGAAACAACAATGAATGTCCGAGGCCTTTGCAAAGAATTTATTAAATTAGTTTACATATTTGCTATCCTAATCTTAAAGTACATTAGTTGTCGTCATCATCACTACCCATTATCATATCTTCTCATGCAATTTGGAATGTAGCACAGTATCTGATGTTTTTGATTCTAACTTTTTATCTTATAATGATAATTTTTTATGGTTATAAACTCTGATATGTCAATTAAATTTTGGAAATAATTTTAAGAAAAAATAAATAAAATTTACTTTTAGTTAAATATGAACCAACACCACAGATGAATTTGATATAAAATAATGAACCTGATTTTTTTATTACAAAAAAAATATTCAATTTAAAAATAATTAATACTATTATGTAGTAGTTTAAATATTACACATAACTATAATAATAAAAAAATAACATTGAATTGTTATTCAAGAAATACTATTTTAATTTCATAATTATTTGAAAAACTTCTAATTCGTCATATCTACTACCATCTACTATATTGATGTCATTATAAGTCTCTCCTCTATCAGTATAACTAAAATTAGTACCAATACTAATAGTACTATCAGTTTTAAACCTAATCTTTTTGACATCACCAAAAACAGGTAAAGAACCATTGGCACAATAAATTGCATGATCATAATCATTATTAACAACATAACTAAATTGTGCAGTATTAATATCATTTATATTACTAATGTTAAATATAAAACTGTCAGTTGTTCTTTTGAACTCCCCAAAAACATCACCTCCATTCCAATTAAGTGGATTATAACCACCAATTATCTGATCAGAATTTTGCATTCTAGCAACTACAAGAGTTCTGTTAATATTATCACATTTTTGATGGAATATAACTTCATTTAAACCGTCTCTACTACTACGATATAAAAGCTTAAACTCATATTTGACATCTCTTAATAAAGTATATTGTGTGTTTTTTTTAACAATCCAACTAGCAAAAAGCAAAGTAAGCTTGTGATTGATTATCAATGATTCAATTTTTGGAATTCTTGATGGTAATAATTGTAAAGCATATTGTTGTCTATTAGGAACTAAATAATAACATAATAGGTTATTCCAAAATACCTTAGGAAAAAGTTTTTGATATAGCATAATTTTATCAGTAAAGTTTTCATTGGTGATATCCTGAAATCGAATTAGAGGAATAATATCTTCTAATATATTTTTTAACTCTTCATAATCAACTTCACTCCACTCTGAAATATTTTTTTTTTCCTCCAAATTTTTAATTTGCCCAATTCCCCACTGAATGATATGATCCCAAACATCAATTTCATCTACTCCTAAATAATTTTTTTCTAATAAAAATTTGAGCATAGGTTTATCAATATTTTTAAAATCTGATGATTTTAAAAATGATCCTGGTTTTTTATTGATCATTTTTTCAAAGTAATCTTTAAGTGTGCCAAATGATTGATGTATTGATGAAATTTGATAAAGATAATATAAACAATGTTGAATCCATTTTTCTTCATTTGTAATAATGTAATTTTGTAATTCATCAACTAATTCATTAAAATCTAATTCATCACTTGCCATAAGAAGTTCAACAATTTCAAAAAAATTTAAATTATTAATATTAATAATTCCATTATAAATATACCTTGAAAAAAAAACAATATAATAATAAAAGTAATGTTAATAATTTAGAAATTTTTTCAAAAAAAAAAAAAATCATTTAATAAATTATTTAACAAATTAAACTAAATAAATAAATTAATCTTACATTAAAAGAACTTCAAATACACTTGAAGATATATTTTCTTTTTCAAATAAAATGATACCATTTTCAGACCTTTTAATCCAGTTATTTGATAAGGCTGCCTTAAAGTATGAAGATCTTGCTTTCAAGATGTTTGAATGAGCCTTAAAAATTTTTTTGTCTACTCCAATTTTAATTTCTACATCATAAAAATTTGAATCAATCAATAAATTTGTTAGATCATTTACAAGCTTACTGATATGTTTTAAAGGTAAAGCATCTTTGTTGGAATCAATAAGATTACTAATCAGTGTTGTGATATTTTCAAAAGATGAAAAGTTTATTGATGACATTTTTGGAGAAATAAAATTTATTAATTTCAGTATGTAATTTTGTTGATTTGTTATTTTTTTTAAAAAAAAAGGATTTCGACAAATTTAATCGCGTTATATATATATATATATATATAAATATATATATAATAAAAAAAAATATAAAAAAAAAATATCTGCAGCTGCAGAACGCACCCCAAAAAACTTTTAACAAATATTAGTTTTATTTATAACAAGTTTTTAAATGAAAACGTAACAGTGAGTTTTGTGAAATACAGATTAGCGTTATGGCTCTGGGGTCATAATATCATAAAATCACACGACATCAATCACATACACATATATTCGTTTGGAGCATCAAGATTAGCACCGAATGCAAAGCATCTTAACAACCTATCATGTATTCATGATCAATGATGCAATCTTTATAAAAATAGAATATTCATGAGATGGTGCATTGATCGAGTAGTCTAATGGATTACAACAAAAACATATAAATAGACCCGCTACCTCCAAAAATTGGTGCATCGGTTTGCTTTTTATGTTGCATTTGAATTCGAGAGTTGAGACACATAGTGCCGAAATGACGTCCTATGTATGATTTGGCTTTACACGTTATATTCAAATGCGAGGTGTGTATATATTGTACTGAGCATCGATATTAAGTCAGTCATATTATTATTATATCAATATTTTTGTTTTATTCGTTGTGTTGAGCAAAAAATTTATTCACTAATTATTTTTTATTAATTAGTCACACATAGTGATGTTAGCCGGCTAAGAAATTTATCGGCTTAGCCGGCTTAGCCGGCTTGAGCCAATCAAATTCCATTCTCAAAAATAATAAAAAATATTCATTCATTTGTAATGCCGCCAAAAA